CCCCCCCCCCCCCCCGCCTCGGTGAAATAGTTGACCACATCAGCAGCCGGCTCCACTTGTCATGTGGCTTCTCATGTGATGCCGGGGCTGCAGCACTTTGGAGCAAGAGCCTTTGTGACTCGGCACTCATGGACAGTAGTGGTTCAGGGACGGAAGAGATTTTGGAGGGGGCGGGGCGGCCAATAAACCGAGAAACGTCAGAAATAAAAGTCGCACGAAGTACCCTGATCTCTGTATTCCTTTTTATTTTTGGAAATTTGGTTTTCGTTTTTTTTTTTAATGGTTTGTGTCTGTTTTTTTTTTTTTTTCCTACTCCCGCAGGCGCCGAGCTGCGCTGTTTTGTGTTTCTTTCTTTCTTTTTCTTTTTCTTTTTTTTTTCTCCTCCTCTTCCGAAGCCAGACCATCCTTGCTCTCCCAGCCCCAGGGCTGCATCTCTGTGGGCACGCCGAGCCTCCCTGGTTACCTGAGCTGCTCCTGCGGTGTCCCCGCCTCGGCTTCGCCAGGGTGCAGGTGCATCTGAACCCGGAGCGGCGGTCTGCACAGCGCCCAAGGAGGACCTGCTCCGGAGCTCTGGCCGGGGCCCCTCGCGGCTGGAAGAGGCTGAAGCTGCACTAAGGCCCGGGGTGGGACGGACAGAGCGGACGCCGAGGCCCGGGGACGGGGAGTTAGCAACACGTCCCGTGCCCGCCGGGTCCTCCGCGGGGCCGGGGCGACCGCAGCTCCGCGCTCCTGCCGTGGGCACCCAGCTCGGGGCTGCTGCCAGGGATTAGTCTGGGTGGGAGGGGGGTGGCGAGCCACGCCGAGATGCGGCGGCATTTTACCTGAGTAGAGCGGAAGATGGATGAACCAGGTATCGGCTGCGTCTGCCCGGCGAGGCAGAGCTGGCGAGAGACAGTGAGGGGAGGGCGTGAAAGGCAAGAGGAGGTGCCGGATGCCGCTTGGTCGTCTGCCGCTTGGTCTGCATTCCCGGTCTAGAGAGGAGGGCATAATTTATAACCCGGCACATGGATGGAGGAACTGTAAATTGTAGTCTGGCCATCCCCTGTGCTGTCAAGGCAGAAACTGATGGGCTAGGTGACTGAACCGTGTCCCCAGAGAGAATCGCAGCCTAGCAGCATGGCTTTAAATGCATGTGCATGCATGTAGAGACATGAAAAGAAAGATTTCTGACCATTTTACACAGGAAGTCTGTCACTTGGCTGGACCCGGCTTGATTGCAGCTTGTATTTTCAGCTTCAGCTCAACACCCATTTCCTGACTAGCTAGAGACGATGGCCAAAGCAGCTGCATGCAGAATTTTCTTGTTAATGTGAAAGCAAGACCCCTCAGCGTTAACTCCTTGGAGCTCTGAGTGCTCTGCGCTTTGCTAGGGCTGATTGCGGGGTTTTGTTTTCTTCTTCTCCTCCAAATCCCTGTAAACACAGCTGTATTCAGTATGGGGAAAAGATTCTATCCTGTAAATAGAAATCTGATCAATTTAATCAAAATAAATGTATCCCAGATGACTTCGGGACCAGCTGGCTACCACAGGCTTCAGATGCTAAGATGTTCGATAGACACGAATGCGGTGTTCTATTTACATGTTTTACAATTCCAGGATCAGCATATAATTTAAAAAAAAAAAAAATCCTTTTCTAAGGAAGAGTAGCGGTCCTCCCAGCTCCCAGCTACACGGTTAAGGCACAGGTGCCGGATGCTGTTGGTGAGATTTGGGAGTCGGTGGCGCTGCATTCCGAAGGGCGCGTGACATGCGGTGTCTAGAGCGGCCACAGTCCGCGTGGAGCAAGCGTGCATCCAACTTGCAGCGTGGAGAGGCGAGTGCCCTCGGAGTCGCCTCCGCAGAGTTTGGGGGAGGTGCTTGAGGCTGGTTTTGGACTCAGATGAGTGAGCCGTGCTGGTCTGACCCCAGCTCTGTGGAGTCCGCTCAAACCTGGGGAGGAGGAGTTTTCCCAGTTGTCATGGGGAGCTCTTCTGGGACGCCTGTCTGGCCTTTCCACTGTTTGTTACTATTTCTACAAAGGCAGCTCTGTGTGTTGGATTATGTTTGGCCAGCTGTTGATGCATTCCTGCGGGGGGGGTTGGGTGGGGATCTCATTACTGTACTTCCCCACTGTAGATCTGGGGGCATGGCGTGCCGGGAGGGGGTGGAGAGCCAGCAAGCTGGAGAATCTGATCTTACCGCTTTCTCCAGAGAGTCCACGAGTGAATCCAGAAGGGCTCAGAGTGGCGAGATGGGGGGGGGGGGGCGCCCTCGGGCGCCCCCGGCGGGGGAGGGGGATTGAAACTGAGCAAGCACATGAGAGAGAACAGTCGTAGAACTTCAAAGCTGCATAGACAAGCAGAATGTCAGCAGCTTGTAATTAGCGGTTCATGGTTGCGTCAGTGACTGTATCTCTCCAAGAATAACTATGTGATGTGTGCCACAGAGTGAAGAAGATAGTCATAACTGAGTTATCAAACCCGGTTCAAACAAGGGCAAGTGGATTAAGGAATTTTCTGTTTGTAAATCAAATACGGATGGATTATACTTTTAAGACCGGGTGAATTCTGCGTAATTGAAGGCTGATTTACCAGTTTGTCGGGGCGGGGGGAGTCTCTGTTCGTTAACTGAAATTGTGACTCAGGCATTCTGATTCATCGTGCAAAAAGAACATCAGTGCAGCCCCCCTTTACTCAAGGTGTTTTCCCCGCGTTGCCAGTCCTCCTGCCTCATCCACGCGTGATGTTTGTTCGCTTGTTTTTGGGCATTCACATGGAAAGGAGTCAGAGGTTACATCCCAATAAATACGGTCAGGTGCGGTCTAAGATTCCCGTGTTAGAATTCAAAAAACTGCCGCGGGGTTCTGCTTTCTGTTCCTTGCCCCAGTGTCAGCCTCGAAAGGGCCTTGGCCGTCTTGAAGGCACACAGCGGTGCCTTCGGAAACCCGCGGGAAGGGAGGGCAGCAGGGCGCCTGGGATTTGAAGGCCGTGTTCACTTCCCTCCCCTGTGGCTCCTGTGCCTGGGAGATTTTGGTGGGAGTGGAGCCCCCCCCACAAAGACACGGTGGGAAGAGCTGATTGGTCGCCAGGCTGACGATGTTTACTCTTATTTGTTTGTGGTGCTCCTCCACAGCATTCATTTTGTATTTGTGTTCACGCCGCCCAATTACTCCTGACCCGCTTTGTTTCTCTGCCCGAAGAGAAGTCCATTTTAGTGCGGCTCTGTGTATTTGGCTTCCTGGGCGCTCCGCGCGTACGTATCGCGCTCCCCATGTATGCGTTTCCCTTTTTAATGTGAATTAGGGAAAATTGTACGCAGGGAAAGCTGTGTATATTAAATCAATCGCTCTTTGAATCACATGTAATATAATTTAAATATACTGACTTTGAGGTTGCCAAAGCTGACATTGTCTGAGCCCGTTTAATTTACATCTCCCATTTAGTCAAGAAGCGGAACCTGCCAGATCAGAATAGTGTATTCTGTGCACCCAACAGGGTGGAAGACATTATTTTGTTTGTGTTAGTTCCAACAGCTGGTCATTAATGCGGTCCCCATTTCTAGAGTAAAGTGCTGGTGAGCATGAATGGCTGCCTGATTAATGCCGCCCCTCCGAGGGTCCTTCACCCAGCAGCCACGCTCACAGCAGAATAATGTAGCATGATGTGATTGCACTCTAACAGCATAGTATGTCATTGTGTCACCAAGCAATTGAGGTTATTACGGGGCAGGGCAGACAGACGGGACAGTGGGGTTACTAGACCGTAGCATTTTTAGAAATACAGGCCTGACCTACTTAGAGTTATTCTCTCTGGCTGGCGGCTGCTTGGCACATGAAGTCTCCTGATAGGCTGACGCTGTTGCTAGGGGGAATTAGCATGAATTTTTTTTTCCGCACACAGACTCAGTGACTGAATGATAAAAGCTGACTGGAATTAAAGAGATTTGGTTTAGTATTATACAGATTTATCTGCCTCGTTTTTCTTTCTCAAGTGCAGAGAAAGAGTGCAAAAGACAGATTTTTTTGTTTCCATTTGTTCTTTGACCTTCTTGTTCTCCCCTCCGAGAGGCAGAGTGGGGGGGGGGGGTGGAGAGCAGGGCAGTTATGAAATTTTGGTTAATCTCTGACTGTTGGGGTCATTGAAACGACGTTACAAATTGCGAGATATTTAAGCTTAAAGACTGCAGGGAACGAGGAACAGAAGGTTAGATTATTTTTCCTCTTCTGTGCACTAAGCTGTTTTGAAGCTGGGCATCTTTCATGCACTGTATATTTAAACTCTTTCCCTTTTGGACTTGAACAAAACATTTATATAAATTCTTTTCTATCCAAACAGATTGAAGCTTGCAATCTCTGGCTTGTTTAAAATAAGATAGTAAGGATTCCAGATTTAGACGGGAAAAATATATATATACCCTTTTTTTATGACAAAAAAAAATTTTTTTTTTCTGGGCTATTTTGGGTTTGGCTCGTTTTTCAAAGGCCAGCCTGATGTGTATGCTCGTGGATAAAACTTGACTGCTCCCAGCCCACCCCCTTTGCCTCACAATATACAGAAGGACAGAGGTTTTTCTCCAGAAGACAGGGTATCTGCACAATTTATCTGGAGATTGTTTTTCCTTGTTGCTGACATCAGCACTGCTGCGAGAGAGCTCACATAATCAATTTTATAAGATGACCTATTTTTTTTCCCCTACTCCTGCATTCTCCAAGTGTCTGTGTGCTTGTGATTTTTAATAGATCTTTTAAGGTAAACTGAAAGTCCATCAGGAGAAAAATAAAAGCAATGAATGTCTAATCAAGAATACTTTGATTTTTCTTGTTCTTAATTATATGCTCTCTGGGCTTAAATTGCAGTGTCCCTCTGTTACGTTTCACTGCTGAAAGTAATTATTATCCTGCTTTTTTGATTTGAAATTAATTTTTGTAAGAACATGCTGTGATATCACAAGTAAACAAGAGGCCTGGCCACCTAAGGGAGAGGAATAATGGAGATTCTTAGGAATTTCTAACATTGGGTTTCTTGGCCACGTGAAAAAAGACGAGAAAAGGTAAATGGGGATTTTTTTCTTTTCGTTTCAGTCTTTAAAAATATTCGGAACTACTTAGAGATCTATGCTTTTAAACAATGATTTCCACTTACATCAGAGATCGCAGTCAAAACAAACAAACAAAAATGCTCTCATGGTATCAGAGTCAAGAAATCCATCAATCTTTTTCTTTTTTAAACTCAGCAGTATTTACATTTCAGCATACAAATACAGCTTATCAAGCTAAAATAGAGTGTGTTTTCTGATGTGTAACTGACACTTCATAGCCTTACTGGCTTTGAGAACCCTCCAAATAAGGTGTATTTGTAAAGGTTGTCAGCCACACTAACAATCTTTCTTAACTGAATAAAGTGTCAGTTTATATTTGTTGAATAACAGATTACCTTGGTGTGCTGCTCTTTCCAAAACGAAGTAATTTCATTTACTTTAGTGAGCATTTTAATTCTTGTACGAGACTTTCTTTGCTTGGGTCAATGGACAGTCATTGAAGTTCAAAGTTCCAGAAATAAAATGCCATTTTAGGATCTCTTAAGGGGAAATGTTGGCATAAATTCGTTAACATCTGTTAAGGACCGATGCCTAATTTATATGTTGAGTACAGCCTGCGTCCAGGTACCAGGTCAAATCGAATATTTGTTGTTTGATTAATAATAAATTGATCGCACTGACGTTGTTCGGTGTGTGAATCTTACTTGGTTGGTTAGGTTGTTAAGAATTTTTCATTGCCATGGCTTTCCTCCATGACTAGAGAGGTCAGTATCAGGTAGGTCTAAAGCAAAAACAAAACCGTTTTCCTGCCTTAGCTCCAGTCAAGCTTAATTTCTGCAGTCAGGCTTACCTCTGATAATGTAAGTCCATAGTGTGACTTTTATCCCCTGCCAATTGATCAGAAAGCCGAAGGAGCATCACTCAATCATTTCATCAATCCCTTATTTCTACGGTACTTACTTTCTGCTCACCTATGAGGCCGGCTTCTCCACTTAGAAGGTTCAGTTTGGACCAGTGAGTTTTGGGGGATGTTGTCGGGTAAAAAGAAAAAAGGAACACAACATTTGGTTGTTGTGGGGGCGGGGCACCACATACAGTTAGAACTTGGGTTAAGCCACTTCCTTTGCCGTGTTATAACACCTAATGATGTGTAATCCTTACAACCTGGTAGAGGTGCTGGTGGTGACCATACTGGGTGCTTGGAGATCATCAGTTCTCCTGACCTCACAAACAAGCTCTCTCTCTTCTTAACCATCTTAACGCTTTATAATACTGAAGATCGGGGGCACGTGGGTGGCTCAGTTGGTTGAGCATCCAGCTCTTGATTTTGGCTCAGGTCATTGATCCCAGGGTCGTGGGCTCATGCCCAGTGTCATGCTCTGCACTGAGATTGGAGCCTACTTAAGATTCTCTCTCTCTGCCCCTCCCCTGCTCATGCACCTGCTGTCTCTCTCAAAAATGAAAATATATATATATTGAAGACCTAACAGTAAGCCAGAATGTATCTTTGGTGAAGTCATGACAGTGGAATGTAACCCAGAGATCTGAAACATCATTATTTAAACAATAGTATGTCAAATACCTTTAAGTAGCCAAGCTATACATTCCCCGGAACTACGTGAGTCACTGTAAATGGTTTGCTTTGGTTTTCTCCCCCTTACCTTCAACCTTTTTCCACCCCTTTAAGTGTGACTACGCTACCGCTACCGTCTTGTGTCGCCACCCCTGAGTTTCCCAAACAAAGGACTAAACAAACCATATTCATGCTTCTGACCCCTGTGATCACCTCTGTAGCAAACTCAAGTTAGACCTGTCTGACTTCCTCAGAATGACACCTTCCAGGCTTCCTTTTCCCTATGGACTATTACACGGTCCTTCGTGTTTTTCTCTAGGAGTCTCTAACCTGTTCTTCATCTGTGTCCCAGGTGCATGGAAGTTGCTTCACAAACATTAGTGGATTAGCAAGTGATTCCCATTAGGGAATCCAGAAGACAAATTGTAGAGAAGGATAATGAAGTCTTCTGTCTGCGACTTCTCAATGGTACAGGACAGGGCACGGCAAACTTCTTTATAAAGGGCCCGACAGCAACTGCTCAACTTAGGTGGGACAGAGAGAAAGCAGCCACAGACCATTCATAATTGAATGAGTGTGTTTGTTTTTCAATAAAACTTTATTTACAAA